TTYTGCATGTATAACTTGAGACAATTAGGAAAAACCAAAAGGTGTTCCTCAAATAAGTTAACATCGGATTGTTGTAGATATCATAAATTTGTAACAATGAAAAAGCATTCGGACGCTGTGCCCCTCCACAGCGCTTCTTCAACTATGTTTGGACTATGGTTTCACTATTTCGGGTTATCTTGACGCTTTTACTAGCACTTATACTAACATTAGTCCACATAAATTGTTTATGTTTGCTCTTCTTGTTAAATTGTGCGCAAAAAGTGTGCGCAGAATTTCTGCGTCATCAGAATGAAATTATCGACATGATTTGTTTATGTTTTGTATTCGACCGTTCTTGTTAAATTGTGCGCAAAAATTGTACGCAGAATTGATGCGTCATCAGAATGAAATTATCGACTTGAATTCGCACGTGAGCTCTGGAGGCGAGCGCGTAACGGGTACATAAGGTGAAGAAAACGGAGTATCAAGATTTATATTATTATAGCAAATCAAATCACATTACGAAAACCGGAGAGCTGAGTTTACTCTATCGGGCGTCGATGATTTGCGGAACAAAGTGACCAATGAGCGTTGCTTTAGAATCAGCTGACACGCAGAAAGATTGCACGGCGCTCACCGGTGCATTTCCGAGCAGCGTTACCTCTTGCTTTTCTTCTCTCTCAAGACCGTCACCCAAGATCATATGGTGGAAAGATGGCAAAATGATCGACGATATCAAATATGAGTATTCTCTTCCAAGACAACATTTCAACAGGCTTTTGTTCATCGACAAAGTTACCAATAAACATCAGGGAAATTATACTTGTACGGCAGTTTCAGCGTCTGGGAAGAAACGTGTGTCAGCCTCTACCTACCTCACAGTGAAAGGTTTGTTTAGAAGTCGTCTGTTACTATTAAGGTCTAATCATATGAGGGAAATTTTTGTTCCGTTTTCAACTTTTTAATATGAATCATTAGGAGGGTGGGGTAAGTAATTATCAGAAAACGAGCATAATCCCACGTTTAAATAGAACAGGTACGTCTCAAAGAATTTGATGGATAATAAAATCAAAACTTCTCCACCTTGTGAACGTCTAACTACACAAGAATAACAACTACGGCAAACGTGGTCGGGCTAACGCATATCAGTACTGTTTTGGGTCGGGTTACGTGGTGACACAACTCATCTCAAACCTGGCTCTGCCGCTACGGCTATCGCGCCGTTTGCTATTTCGCTCCATTTAAAGAATTGAACGCCGTGAGCACGTTAGAATTGGCTTTTAATGCGCAAACTCTTTTAAGTAGGTCCACTTCTTCTTCCCGTTAATTATAGGTAGAGGTAACAACTGTTTTAGTTTTTTTTAATTGTTAAGCATAAACTACTCAAGCTAAGTATTTTCTTTCATTACTTTGTTTATTTTTTTAATCCCAACTGCAGCCTCACCCGAATGGAAAGTAAGATCTGATCGGAAAATCGAAGTACAGAGATCGAAAAACTTATCCTTGATGTTGATCGCAGACGGTTTTCCAAGTCCAAGCTACCAGTGGCTCAGAAATGGAAAAGAAATCGACGCTTCAGGGTAAGGGAAATGCCGTGAAAAATTATCCTTTAATGATTGACTGCGTTTGATTTGTTTAAACCAGTTTTTTTCTAATCTTTTAGCAGCTCTCGGGTGAAAATAGAGAAGAACAAATTACATCTGATTCATGTGGACAGCTGGCACGATGCCGTGTTTCAGTGTGTTGCAGAAAATGATCAAGGAATGATTGTGTCCTCTGTTTGGGTTGATGTTGAGGGTAAGTTCAACAGTCTTCTCCAATCTGCATTCCTGTTGCAGCCTTGGGACACTCGTTCATGTGGACGCACTATTTAACAGATAAAGAAATTTCGAGTGCCGATTTTTTTTCTGTTATGAAGCACGTTGGAAGCAGCAACAACAACAAAATTTATTCATTTTTTAGCAATTAAAATACATATCCAACGAACCCTACCTGCAAAATAGCGAAGCTAATCGGGGCGGGAGGGAAATAAACATCAAAATGTATTCATTAATAACAAGTTTGACTGCACAGCAAAAATGACTTGAAGAGCATACATATACAAAAACAATGAAAAACATTTCGATAATTTAGAAGCAGCAAGAGCATGAAAGAAGAGTAGGGGAAACACAAGACATACGAAAAAATGTATTTATTTTCCATGAATTTCATCAGGGACATACGAAAAAATGTATTTATTTTTCCTTGAATTTCATCAGACTCGCCAACCAGCCTTGCCCCAAGTTCAAGAAGTGGATTCTTCTCAGATAATGCATTGTGGATCATTATAACTGCTGTCCTGGGAGTGCTTTTCATTGTGGCAGTTATTATCATCATAGTTTTTTATAAACGAAGAAAAGCCAGAGAACATGGAGGTGGGTTGTTCTTCAAATGAAATGGCTGTGTTTTGAAGTTTTAGTCTTCTGTTATAGGGCTGTGATGCTTTAAATTAAGTTGGCTAACAGATGATTTGCTCATTGGGACTAACTCATGCTAATTTTTAAAACAGTTTAAGTTCATTAAGTTTCCTGGTCAAAGATATACGTGGCAAGCCCTTTAGATTTTAGGGAGACTAAGAAATCTTTGATTCGCTGTATAACATTTGACTGAGTATGATCAATAGGTTTTTATCTGGTATTTCTGACAAACTTCTTCTTGTCATCCTTTAGAGACATCGGATGCCACGGAGGAAACTCCACGATACCTGGATGTATGCCAAAGTAACTCATCCGCACCTCGGACCAATGCGACCGAAGTTACAGGCGGAAAGAAACCAAGGAGACGTGCTACTCTCCCTCCGCTCCCCCTGTATCAAGCCCTTGACCCAACAACTACAGCAATGCCAAGTTATGAACCAATAGACAGTGAACAGGACCTCAATGATAGCGGGTTGTATGAGAAGTTAGATTTTAGATCCATGAAAAGTGGCCATGAATATGTTAATCCTGAGCGACCTATTCCTGAATATCTCGAGCTTGTAAATGACACCCAGGTGCCACCTGGAAATACCGCGTCTAATGCGCAAACGAAGGGGCCTGGAAAATACTGTTATATACCAATGGAAAATGGCGACTCCAATAATGTTTTAAATAATTCTTCGCCACAAGACTACGTCTCGATCGAAAACGGAATGCACAGCAAAGCCTTAAATAACTCGACGCCACAGGATTATGTTCCAATGGATGCATCGAATATGAGAAATAATCCTTCTTTGCCTATGGCGGGAAGATCTGATGGATCAGCTGTTGAAACTAGAGATCGAACTTCCTCAGCAGACTATTACCAGCCTATGGCGAACAATGGTGACTCATGTGAGCAAGGAAGCCCACAGACCTCTTCCCTTGGGGATTATTATTCACCGATGGCAGGAAGTACTCTCAGTGGACCAGCGAGCAACGCAAATGCTCATAATGAAGTTATGTCCAGCAAACTGTAAGGATTTGTGTTGTAGTGGAATTCAAACCATCCGACAAATGTTTTCAAAATTTTTCGTTAATTTAACTTTGTCATTCAACCTGTTTCAAAAGAACCCGTTTCTGAAAGATTCCTTTTAATTGCTTGTAAGATTCTACCTTTCGACGTTTTAATCGTTAGTGGCGTCACTACTAAGAAACAGAATTGACAAGTTCGCAATTCTTTTTAAGCATCGAATAATGAAATTTCAGTTTGAAAGTTATTTTAACGCCCAATGAAGAATTATGTCAAAGTGTAATACGAAATTTTAACACAAAATTTAGGCGTGTACCTAATGCTTTTGACGTGGAATCTCTTCTCATTAAGAACGCAATTATATCCCTCTGGGAATCATGCCATAGCGCATAGATATCAAAAGTTACACATTTCAGACTGCAACGTACATTTCGCATCTAAAAACTATGCAATCTTCACAGTGAAGTATGCCTTTTTATGTGAACAACGGATAGAATGGAAGGCTTATGCAAGCACTAACGGTCACTAGCAAAAATCATACGCAGAGCAAAAACATATCTTGAGTCAACAACATCAATGAATGATATACTCAGTACTCATAAACATCTTATTATTAAGCAGTTATTACGTATATTAACATACGTTTTCTAAGTTTTATCATGTTTACTTACAATGCGTTATGAGCTTGTTTATTATGCCGCTGTAACTGTTGTGAGACCTTCGCTCAAAAGAATACAGCTAGGTAATAGCCCATGCAATGATAATCATAAATGAAAAATTAAAACCACGATGGTCAACGACAATAACTATTGCTTTGCTTAGATATATCTTGGCGCTGAAAATTCGTCACGGCATTGAAAGGGAAGTAGACTAAGCAGTGCCTTCTTTTGGGCGAAGTCCTTCGTGCGAGTCAGGAGAGACGGCTCGTAGCCTAAAACAAAAGTAGTTCAGACGTCGGCATTCGGAACAAATGAAATGGTCTTAGCCTAACAGTCTTCGTTGAATCTCGTCCATTATTTGAGCCAGTTCTTCTGGGTCAGGTAGCTCGTGTATCGCCCTCTTTCCTAAATGCCTGTTACTGGGTCTCTCTTCATTTGTGTTTTGAAATGTACAATTGTAAATTTCA